TTTTTTTTGCGTTTATGGACTTGTATTAAAAGAACTTGTCAAGTTATTTTCTACTTTTACATATAAATTATTCTGACGGAAATCATTCTACAAACGAAATCGCATCTCAACTGGCCTGATTGCACACGGAAACATATCCGGTAAGCGTAGCAAATGATGAAAATTCGACGAATAGCTATATCTTGAATCTTTTCCCCGTCGAATCCGCACCGGAATTTCAGGATTAAAAATTGATTATATTGGAAAAATTTGCGTAAATTGTTGCCATTATAGTCCGTTATTGTTTCAAAGCTAGAGCATAGAGCTGATTATTGTTATTATAATCGTTTAATATTCTAATCCATTAAAATCCATTATAATCAATTATAATCCAATTAAAACACATTATAACTGATTATATGGGTTGTACCCCCTAAGTTTTTTGCAAATTGCTCTAGGGGGTTGGGGTTGGGTGGGAAGTAAATGTTGGGGTGGTGCGGCGAGTATGTGGTGTGAAGAGTATATGGGGTTGACATGCGAAAATTGTTGTAGAGGCCAGTAAAATTTCATAATCTATAAATGTAATTTATAAAAATACAAAGTAATTTTCATAAAAATACATAGAAAACAAGATAACAAAAAAGATAACAAAGATAAGGATACCTATAAAAGATATTATGATAAACAAACAAGAAAAAAACAAGCTGAAAATAGTTCAAAAAAGGCAAGATAAATCGCTCGAATGGCGAATAGCCTTTTTCATTCATCTGCCTGCAGAAATTTTACTGGCAATTTTTTTTACTCACATTTCGCAATTGTTACAAAAGCATGCGGACTGAGAAGGGAATGACAAAAATAACTGTTCTTCGAACTAAACCTTGCAGAGCACCTCGTTACACCATAAAACTTGTGCCTATATGAAGAGGGGGGAAAGATGCCTGCAAATTGTGGTATAATGTTTAAAGTAATCTTGATTTGGACTCTAATAAACTTTTCTTAATAAAGAAAAAGGTTGAAATTTTCGGTTTTCCAGACTCGTATACATGCAAGAAGAGAAAAAAACTTATGGTGAACTCTTCTCGTGAACTTTTCTGTAGTTTCTTTGTAATTTCGGCAGTAATTATCTAATTTTCTTCAGCAATGTACCATCATTTCCTGAAAAAACTATATATATATATATATATATATATATATATATATATATATATAAATATATGTAAAAAAAAACATTTAGAAAAAAAAAACAAAAAAAGCAAGTGAAAAAAGTGGGAATAAAATGTTTACATTTCTTTCAATTTTTTATGAAAAATTTGCCTACTTCGCAATTTTTTGAGCAAAACTTTGAAAGGATGGAATTTTACATTTTTTTCAAATTGCATGAAAAAGATTTTGTAATCGGATCAAAAGGTTAATTCCTTCTTTGAGTTTAAAGATTTACCGACTAGCACATGACACATATTTCGGATTACTGTCATTCAATGGTAAAAAAAAATGAGTCGAAAGGTGTTTTTTTGTTGGATCGATCATATCATCCTTAAAGAAGCTCTTAGGAGTTCAATTGTGGTGCTTCACTAATTTCTTCCAGTTTTAGTGATTCAATTAATCATAATGGCAAGCAGTAGAAACATGGGCTACTAGCAGAGCTACCGGCTGTTATTTTTGATGGTGTAGCAATGCGTTTTTATCTCTCAGTTTTAATCTGAAAGCAAAATTTTTGTTTTCAATTTTGTCAAATCCAAATTGCATATCAGATAAAAGTTTCAGCTTTAACAAATGAGCCACAAACATTGAACAAAAATTTCAATTACAACTAAAAAAAATGGATAGAAAAAAATTTCAGAAACAAATTGATAATGATTGTGTCCGCATCCAAGTTAAGGCTTATTTAATCGATTATAATAAATATTAAGTACATCTTTGACACTTATTTTGGATTAAAATAACCCAAATTAGGTGTTAAAGCTATTTATACTCGATTATAATCGTGATATTTTCCACAAGGCTATTATATCTCTTAATCCATTATAATTGGTGTTTCATACCAATTATAACTGTATCAAAAGTAGATGGATTATTAATTGATGATAATTGTTCGAAATGTAGTATAAATGATAATAATGCTTTTTCAAAGAGAGATTTGATAATCGATTATTAACTGATAATAATTGATGTTTTCTCAACTTTAGTTAGATTGGCATAAAAATCATAATAAAATCAATTATTAACTCTTGAAACAGGGTGGCACGTTTCTCTCCACGCAATTTTGCGCCTCTCAAGTTTAGTCGCTTATATCTCCCCTCTCTTGTTTCGCCTCTCATAGTTTTTCACATTTCCTTCTCACACGTTTCGCTCCTAATTTTTTTGAACAATTAATTGCCACTATCTAATTTTACGGTTTGTGGGCGAGATGTGTGTAGGGCTCTGCTAGTAGCGCAGAATGTTTCAACTAGTTATCAATATAAATAAGAATGGGGAAAATTTATTATTTTCTTGCAAACCTTTTTGAACACTTTCATTTATTATACATTAAAAAAGTATCTGCGCTTTCTTTTGGCAATTATAATCATGCTATTTATAGAAAAATTTTGAATAAAACCAATCTTTTTTTAGTTATGCGAGACGTCATCAGTGGACTTTAACTTCTTTAAAGACAGCAGTAGTGACCTTGGACCATGGACAGACTTAAAAAACTGTATCCGGATATGGAAGAACGACTGGTTTGCATGCCAATGCTTCCAGAGGAGCTGCGAGACAACCCGGTCGCCAAAAAGCTGGTTCACAGAGAGTCGTCTGTACTGGAAACTTTGGGGCTGAAAGGTCTTCTTTTTCAGAGAGGAGACGTTGGCAGCTATTTTTATTTTCCAGTCTCTAGCAGCTGGTTAAATGTAGCAGTTGAAATCAGAGAAGAAGGCAGCGATATAATGTTGTCCCCAGAGCTGGATGTTAAGCGATTAATCAAAAGCGATTGGGAGAAAACGGGAATGGAACAAAGTTTCAGAAGAACAATTAGTATTCGATATATTTGTTTATTCACCTTAGACTCGTATTCTACAGTAAGCCGAATAGAAAGTTTTGACTTAACTTTGCTATGCACAACGAACCAGGCCAATGACGAATTGGAGTTTCATGAACATTGGCTAACTTTGGACTGTCACCATCGCATAGCTCTTGGACATGCAAAATTTGAAGAGTTTTTGAGAAACTCGTTCGTGGTTCTCAATTGTTACAGGAGTTGCCACTCTGAATTTTTGAACTTATTTCTACAAGAATCTAACAAAAATTGTGGAAGAATTGAACTTCAAATCCAGGGTAATTTTGTTGACAACGAAACTTTGCTATCACGTTTCGACTCCAACTTTCCTCACATAAGCACTAGTTTGAAGTTTTTATCTGTAGACAATCATGACAATAGTTACTCGGCGATGCGTCGTCTTTGTCGGCAAACCTGGTCGCGTGGAGTTGTTGTTGTTGACTGGCCGCTCATTTTTAGAGAACGAGTCAACTTCACCGTACCTCAAGCAAATGATACCTGTATGCTCTATGATGGCCTTGGAAAGTGCATTTCCATTTTGGTAGCTGGTTCGTCTGCTATAAGTGATGCTACATCATTTTATGAGGAAATCGAGCGCTGTTCAACGTCAATTGTTGCATTCTGGTTATTTCTTTTAATTGATCCTTTTCTAAAAAACCTTACGAGCGGTGTTTGGAGTGAAATTGCACAAAGCATCAATTTCGTTGTAGTTTTTCAGAATGAAGCCAAGCTGGCTTTCTCAGATCTAAAGAAACAGGAAAAACTACAACTTACCAAAAAATCACACGCCCCAGAGTTGTCAAAACTGGCAGAGAAATATCAACTGCTTAAAAGTGGTGATCTGGAAAATATGAAGGAAATCTCGCCTTCGATTTGGTCGCAGGTGAAGATTGTTTTCCAATCAAAAAAAGGTAAGTTCGTTTTCTTCAAACCAGGCAATAACTTTAAACTACACGAATGCAGTACTGAAAATGTCTTCGAACGAAACGGAAATCTTTCACAAAAAGAAGAACTTGCAATTTCGAAAGTTGCTGCAGCGATTGTCTTAGGAAGCAATGATAAAATTCAGAACATAAGGAGAGCTTTGGGTTTAAACAACTTGAATCGGTTTAAGCAGATAGAAAAAGAAGAACATGATGATATATTTGGAGATAGTTCTTGTAGTGAGTCATCTGAAGATGAAACCGCACTTACCAAAACGAGAACTATGATGTCCAAAACTTTGAGAAAAAGAACCGTTCAAACCGTAGTTCAGACCAACCAAGCATCTGTTGATCTCAAACTACAAGTTCCTGACAGCGCAACTTTTCCAGTTCGAAATCCTTGTTCCAAAAAGCAGCCAACTTTTCCTTTAGAGGCCAGAGAAAACTCGGGCTCTTATGGGGCCTCGCAGAACCGTGGAGACATTTCGGAAAGTGACTCTGAAAACTTCGAGTTGTCTTATTATTTGTTAGAAAAATCTATGTTCAGAAAGTGGCAAATTCAGTATAGTAACGGAACCCAGAAAGAACAAATGCAGTTTTTATTATCGATCAAAAACTACTACGAAAACGAAGCTAGCCCCAACCCGACAATAAAAGAAGAAATCCTCGCGCTATCCCGAGCAGTAACTTTTCAGAGTTTTTCAAACATGCCAACTGATCAGTTCCACGGTAAGAAAAAATGAATTAAATTTGTATTTTCATAATTTATTAATCATAATAATGGGCATTTCTGCCAATAAAAACATTTAAAAACATCATAAAAACCAATTACACAAAATTCATATAATTTTTTGAGCCTGTGAAGCTTTCTTTGGCTCGAACTAAATGTACCAGTTAACAATTACGAAAATTTGGTTAATATTAATTGTGGTTTCTGCGATTCGCAGAGGATCTTTGAAAGGCCTTGCAGCCTTTTTAAGCATAGTTCGTTTCTCTTATTTCCCCACATTCCAGAGCGAGTTAATTTGTTGAGCGACGCTCTTTTTTCGCGACCTCATGTTTTTTTCTGCGTCTAGAGCTTTCCCGTTGTACTACTATTGCAGCCGTAATTGGTCAGGCTGTGGTAGACCTAAAGCTAGAGGTTGTGAGAGCTTGTCCTCACGCACTATCATTGCCATGGCAGGGGATCAATCACACGATCTGACGCTCACGAAGTGAACACCTTACATTTTTGCTAAGTAGTTCTACATTTATAGTCAGCAAATTCGAAAATAAGTAATAGAAAAATTGAGTAATTTATTGAAAAAATTTTACATCACAGGAATTTGGAGAATGTAGTCAGACGATCCTTCAATTCGTTTCCCAAGTATATTCTCCAAGTTACTGTTATTCTGAAGTTTCTAGCAAATGTAAGCAATATCCTCCGGTTCAGAAAGCATTGCAAATTATTTGAGGCTAGCTAATTGATCCAGTTATTGCACATGGAAGGAAAACTAGACTTTTTGTCCATTCACAATTTTTCTTACAACATCTGCCGACATGCTCAGTTCTGCTGACATTCTCAATTTCTTGAAAATTCAAATGAATTACTTTTTGTTCATTTGAGGTAGTACTTGATGTTTTAAATTATATGCTTTGAGAATATTTTAATTTTTCTCGGATTTGCGGTTCCTAGTTTCTGCCGACTGATTTTTCGTTTTTTTTTAAAAATAAAACCTATATTATCTGGTGCGTTTTTAAACCGTTTCCTTCTAAAACTTGGGTTTTTCAAATTTTGATTCGAACAGTTCCTAATTGATAAAAACTGATTTTATGAAAATGCGTGGAATTTTGTTTTTTATTTTTTTGACAGCTTTGGAAAATTTTTCTTTTTCCTCAAAAAAGTTAGTTTTTCTGGAAACCGACCATTTATAACAAGTTGATCCAATGGAAAAATCGCACACTACGTTGTCTGTCTGCATAATCCCCTTTCTACCTTAACCCACTTTGGAATATTCATTTTCTCAAAAAATTCCCTCCTAAGACTAAAATTTGGGGTTCAATCAAAAGCACGGGCTGTTGTTCGTCAAGGAGAAGCCAAAATTTTTACTTTTTTTTCCATTTTTGAAAATGTTTGGAATCTTTTTGACTTTTTTAAAAACCAAATTCCAAATTTGAGATTAAGGATTGAATCGAACTAATCAGCTGCAAAAATTTTCCCTACAGAAGCGTCGACTCCTAAACTTAAATTATTGTAGGAGGACATTTTTTAGAATTTTGTCTTTAATTTTCCGCTTTCTAATCAGCAAATTCAAAACATTTTGTGCTACTCACGCAGCCACTATTTAATCTTGTTTCAAAATTTATCAGCATCTATCAAAGTTCACCAATAGATTTGTGTAAATTTTCAACGCTTGTCGTTCACATAGATGATGCATATTTAAGCTTCAACTGAATAAGTCTAAATCTTTTATCATTATATTTCTTATAAAAGAGGTAATACTAGTATTTATAAGAGTTGCCTTATCTGTTTAGATTTCTTATTCCAAATTATTTCCCTTGGAGAAGGTTCACAGCTGATAGAGTGGTTACTAGAACTAGACATCGTTGGTCTAAGCAAGAGTCCTGAGTTGCGACCGAAATTGAGCCATCTTCTTCTGAAAGCATGTCAAAAAAACATGCTGAAAACAGTCGAAGTTGTTATTCTAATCTTAGAAAAATTTGAAACTTTACAAAGCGAATTGGAGGCAATTGAAGAGACTGGAAATACAATTTTTACCCTTTTGTGTCAGAATGCAGATGTCAATCTCGAAATACTCAAAACGATTCTTCAAAATTCGTTCCCCGTCGGCCTTGTTTTGCATCAATTTGAAGGCAAAAATGCTTTGGAGTGGGCAGAGTTTCACGGAAAACCAGAAATGAAAACCTTACTAATGTCTAATGAGACCTTTCGAACAGCGTTTGAATTATCGTCTGACGACAGGCAAAACCTAGGTTAGTGATATGCTGTATTCTGAATTTCATATATCACAGAGAAGATAACCAATTTTCACTTATTTAGATCTTATGGTTTTTTTCCAGATGCGGATCTCAAAAAAATAAATTCTATAAAACTTGTCGGCCTTTTTTTAGGTCGAACAGATTGATTTGCTGATCTCTCCCAAATCACAGTAAAGACCTTTCTTCGACCGAATTTTCTGCGCCACACCCGAATTTTCGAAAAAACAGCTTTTGGAAAGATTTGTCTAGAAAAACGAGTGTTTTCATTGGAGCGCGCTCCACTCTCAAATTTTGTATATAGGTGCCTTTATAAGAATTTTAGGGTAGGTCAGCCAAAAATAGATGCCTCAAAATATCATCAAGAGGGACCCTTTGGGTCGTCGGTTGGTCGATTTCCTTAAAAGGATAAGGTCTTTTCCTAAATCCGCCCCCTGTTTTTTCTGTTTAGTTATGTTTTACTGAAAGTCAAATCAGTTAGTTTGCAAATGTTTCTTTTTGGCTATTTGATTCATGATTTTCAATCTGCAAACTGAAAACAGTTTATTAATGCAGTGAGATTTTTTGTTCGCATTTTTCATGAAGGATTTTACGATTGATTTCGCAGTTTGACTATTCATTTTTTTTTCACTTTAGAATTTTTTTTTGCTAAATTGAAAGAAAAGTACGCTTTTTAAAAAGGTTTGAAAAGTGTGATTAGGTTATAGTTTTGAAAATGAAATTTAAACTAAGATTTCTCAGCTGAACAAAAATTACTTTTTGGTTCATTTCTTCACGATTGTTTAGTTTCTTCAGAAATTTAAACAGCTTTAAGGATATTTTGTTTATCGGACTTTCGAAAAAAAAATAAGAATTATAAATGCTTGAGATGGTTTTTTATTCAGAACATTTTGGCAACCGAAATAATAGTTTTTAAGTGGCCGAACGAGGCCAAACTGTACACTGGATAGGTTCACAATTTGGTGTCTGTAGGTCACTGGAAACCGTTACTGTAGTTTTAATTTCATCGCAAGAAATTATCATCGGAGCTTTTCAAGACTGGAAGAGCTTTCATTCATTGGCGGATCCAAGATTTTGTCGAAGTGGTTCGCACAATAGTTTCGACCAAATTGATTATCCGAGCTTCCAGAAATCACTATAAAGATCCTCATTCGACCAAGGTTGCTGTGCCGCAGCCCATTTTAAGATAAACAGACGACTAAAAAAGCATTTTAGGCAGTTTTTAGAAATTGTTGACCCCTGTCAAATTTAGTATATATTGGCGTCATAGGCTCCTTTTGAAAAATTAACGGTCAGTCAGTCAAAACTGGATGCCTTTAAATGGTACCAAAGGGGGATCCTTTGTTTTCTCAGGGTGTCGAATCCCAGAGGAGAGATGAAAAGTCTCTTCACTTTTTGACTTTTATTGCAACTTTAAATCCTCTGAAATAAGGGCGGATCTAGGATTTTCTCGAGCAGATTTTTTAAAAAATTTTCAAAAATTTTGTCGACTTTTTTATTGGTCGACCAAATTAATTTTCCGAGCTCACCCAGAACACTAAAAAAACCTGTTTTGGCCAAACTTTGTGCGACGCAGGCAAATTTTTAAAGATTAGGCCGAAAAAAAAACTTTCTAGGCATTTTGTGGCGAATGTTGATCAAAAATTAGCGTTTTTTTGGCGCGAACTTCCCCCTCGAAATTAGAAAAAAATTAGTGCCAGAGGCGCCTTTAGAAAGATTGTAGAGCCAGTCAGTCAAAAATGAATATCTCAAAAAGTACAAAGGGGGGTTACCATTTGGGTTGGCAGGCGGTCGAACCTCTGAGAGAAAGAAGCGTCAGACCCGCCCCCCTAAATCCGCCCGTGCTCTGAAAGCTCTTCTAAAGTCAAAAATCTTTTATAGTCCAACTATTTTCATCATCACTACTTTTTCAGTATTCTGTTGGCAATGCGATGTTCTTTTTTTGTAGGTCGGAAAATCGATGCATCAAAGAGTTTGACGAATATCGTGAACAAATTGGAAGAAATGAGAAGCAACATGAATGAAATTGCGCAGACGTACTCTGAAAAGAGCATTCACAACTTTGATTCCCTACAAAAGCTATTGCAAACAACTCATGACTTGGCACTTCAAATTAACTCTGCACAGAAACCTGAAAAATTAGACTTTTATTCTATGGAAAAAGTTTGCGAAAGCTTGACCAACTGTGCAAACTTTCTAAGATCAATGATTGGGTTTGTGTCATTCAAAATGAAGAATCTGAGCCACGGCGAAGAAAAAGCTAACAACTGGACTGAATTAGAAGGAAACTATTTTACTTCTTTGCAGACAAACGTGACCGAAAACTTGGGAGCAATCGAGAGAATTATCCACAGAGAAACACCTGAGCCAAAATGCTCCCTACCAAATATCTACTCCAGTCAAATCTAACCATGATAGTTGATGAAATAATTTTTCTTGTATTTTCTGTTTTAGTACCGTTTCAGAGTCATATTTAACTGGAAACAGTTATTGAAACTTGAACTTGAACCTTAAATCCCTATTTTAGATAATTAAACCAGATCGTCAAAGCTTCACCGACGATTTTATTTTTAAATCTTTCTTGGCTTTTTGTGCTAAATTTATTAACCTTAATTCTTTCTTAAACTTGGATCATCAAGTCTTTTCTTGGACCTATTAAATTTCACTTTAAAATTCAATATATCCCCTTAATCAGGTTTCTAACGAACTAAAACGTCGATTTAATTTCCAGCACTTCCAAACAACCCAGGACTATTTGACAAACTTTTCTTAAAATTTTCACCATTTCAATTAGGATAAACAGTGAAGAAGTTCGGTTTCTCAACCTTCACTTGAACCCTACCTCTTATTCGACCCAACCTTATAACAATCATAAGAACTAGCAAGTTCTAAAAAAATATCTAATGATCTAATTGCGTTCAAATTATACCTGAACCTTGTGGATTGATGTTTTATTCTCCAATCCTAGATCTCGTATCGATCTCCATTAGGTAAAATTGAGAAGACTTAACCATAGAAAGCGCCCGATAGGTTTGAGAGCAGTAAAACATCATTGTATCGAATTGATATACTCTCTCCCTAACCCGTCTTGCCACGACAATACGACCCGAAGAATTAGGAGAACAATCAAAAACAGAGTAAGAACTAACAGCTTAGGAGCTAGAACAATCAACATCTGGATTCTGTATCCATCAATCACCCTAACACTTATGTCATTATTAAGCAAGCAAAAAAAGTACTCAATTGTCTCAACCACTACACCCAATATGACTTTGTAATAACAACGCATCAACAAAATTCAGGATATTTTAAATTGAAATACAAAAAAAGAAACCTCTTCTCTATATAAATAAAACCTAGAAAAAATCGTTTCTCAAAAAAACCCAACGCAATTTCAGAATCTGTCACAACAATATACATAATCTTGAAAATCTGAAAGATCAAACAACTATCCAACAAACACAAAAAAAAGACGTTTTTCCGATTCCAAAGCAACAACAGCATCATCCATTGAAAGCAAACGAAGAAAAAAAATTAATTGTTACAAAAAAGCGGTACGAACATAGAATCGGAATCAATCCATAACATTTTTTGAAAGTTACACTCTAGCAGTAATACCACTCCATAAGGATTCATCAAATACGATGATAAAATTCAAAATGGTTCTACCCTATCATTCTTTTTAAATCACGATGGTGACCCATAATGTGGAAAACAAACAAATTTGTCACACGCTTATAATAATATTATTTCTAAACGGTAATATTCCATGCAGAGGAGAGTTTCCAGAAGTAAAAAAAAAGACAAATAATTGACCATTATCTTACAAGTTCAAGCAACATAACCTCACAATATGGGGAACCTTTAATCGAAATAAAATCACCACATCAAAACAATCAAACATCATACGAAGTAAGAATAGCTAACATAGAATTAGTTTTTTTTTAAATTTCATAAAATATAATAAAAACATACAACATCAATCAGTTTCTAAGTGATAAAAACAGTTTTTATGAAAATGCGTGGAATTTTGTTTTTTATTTTTTTGTCAGCTTTGGAAAATTTTTCATTTTTCTGAAAAAATTTAGTTTTTCCAGAAACCGGCCTTAACAATTTATAACAAGTTGTTCCAATGAAAAACTCACACACTCCGTTATCTGTCTGAATAATCCCCTTTAAACCTTAACCCACTTTGAAACATTTCATTTTCTCAAAAAAATCCCTCCTAAGACTAAAATTTGGGGTTCAACCAAAAGCACGGGCTGTTGTTTGTCAAGGAGAAGCCAAAATTTTTACTTTTTTTCCATTTTTGAAAATGTTTGGAATCTTTTTGACTTTTTTAAAAACCAAATTCCAAATTTGAGATTAAGGATTGAATCGAACTAATCAGCTGCAAAAATTTTCCCTACAGAAGCGTCGACTCCTAAACTTAAATTATTGTAGGAAGACATTTATAGATTTTCCGCTTTTTAATCAGCAAATTCAGAATATTTTGTGCTACTTTGAGCCACTATTTAATCTTGTTTTAAAATTTATCAGCGTCTATCAGAGTTCATCAATAGATTTATCTAAATTTTCAACGCTTGTCGTTCACATAGATGATGCATATCTAAGCTTCAACTGAAAAAGTCTAAATGTTTTATCATCATGTTTTTTTTTAAAAGAGGTAATACTAGTATTTATAAGAGTTGCCTTATCTGTTTAGATTTCTTATTCCAAATTATTTCCCTCGGAGAAGGTTCACAGCTGATAGGGTGGTTACTAGACATCGTTGGTCTAAGCAAGAGTCCTGAGTTGCGACCGAAATGGGGTCATCTTATTCTGAAAGCAAGTTGAAAAAACATGCTGAAAACAGTCCAAGTTGTTATTCTAATCTCAGAAAAATTTGAAATTTTGCACAGCGAATTGGAGGTAATTGAAAAAACTGGAAATACAAATTTTACCATTTTGTGTCAGAATGCAGATGTCGATCTCGAAATACTCAAAACAATTTTTTAAGTATCGGTTCCCAGTCGGCCTTGTTTTGCATCAATTTGAAGGCAAAAATGCTTTGGAGTAGGCAGATTTTCTCGAAAAATCAGAAAAGAAAACTTTACTAATTTGTTATCAGATCTTCCGCACAGCGTTTGAATTATCGCTTGACGACAGGGAAAACCTAGGTTAGTGATATGCTGTATTCTGAATTTGATTTATCACAGAGAAGATAACCAATTTTCACTTATTTAGATCTTATGGTTTTTTTCCAGATGCGGATCTCAAAAAAAATAATTTCTCTAAAACTTGTCGGCCTTTTTCTAGGTCGAACAGATTGATTTTCTGATCTCTCTCATATCACAAAAAAAACCTTCTTTCGATCGAATTTTCTGCGCCGCTCCCGAATTTTTGAAAAAACAGCTTTTGGTAAGTTTTGTCCAGAAACTCATGTTTTTTATCGGATCGGGCTCCGCTGCCAAATTTTGTATATAGGTGCTTCTATAAGAATTGTAGTCAGCCACGAATAGATGCCTTAAAATATCATCAACGTGGACCCTTTGGATCGTCGAAGCCCAGAAAAGGATAGGGTCTTCACCTAAATTTGCCCCTTATTTTTTCTGTTTAGTTATCATTTATTGAAAGGTGAAATCAGATAACTCTTCTAAAGTTTCTTTTTGGCGATTTCACTAATGATTTTAAAAACTGTCAAAAAACAAAATGAGAACTTTTTATTAAAGCAGTGAGTTTTTTGTTCGCGTTTTTCATGAAGGATTTTACGATTGATTTCGCAGTTTGATTATTCATTTTTTCACTTTAATTTTCTTTTGCCAAATTGAAAGAAAAGCACGCTCTAAAAAAAGTTTTGAAAATGATATTTATAGTTATAGTTTTGAAAATGAAGTTTAACTAAGATTTCTCAGCTGAACAAAAACTACTTGCAGCTGAACAAACTAAACAAAAATTACAAAAATCTAATAAGATTTTGTCGAGGTGGTTCGCAAAATAGTTTCGACCAAATTGATGATCCGAAGTTTCAGAAATCATTATAAAGATCCTAATTTGACCAAGGTTGATGTGCCGCAGGCGAATTTTAGATAAACAGACGGCTAAAAAATTGTTACCAACAGAATTTATTTCCTCGAAAGAAATCAAAAAGACGAACATTTCTATTGAAATAAGTTGGAGTGATTTTGCAATTATTTCAAATATTACCAATAGCCGTTTAATTATAACAGTACAGACAAAATCGCGAGAGGTTTTTTTTCTGCTTACAAAACTGTAGTTTTCATCGAGCTGCGATTTCCCGCTTGTGTTTTGCTGCAAACCGTTATGTCTGTTCAGAAGAAGAATTGATTAAATTTACAGTCAAAGTTTGGAAAATTTCAATGCTTGATGTATGGGAAAAAACTTTCTTTATAATATTGCGTACGCTGTTTTTAAAGATAGAGAAAAACGGTGGTTTTTATTTCTTGAGATTGCCCCCAAATCTATTTGATCAAAAAATATACAGAAACAGTTCAGAAACTAACTAGATGAGCTCTCAACAATTTCTTGTGTTTACAATTAGGTTACTAACTCGATAAATTGTTTTCGACAAAAATGATGTTATTTGTGGTACATATTGATTATGAAACTCTCAACTAAACAAATTTAATTTACAATTTAAAAAAAAGGAAGGATAAAAAGCTGATGGACTGGTCTTACAAATCGAGAATGGATGGCTTTAAAATTTGGGAAGGTGTAGAAACCTCGTTTCACATACCTTCAGTACATGAATGTCAAAAATGTATTTGTCTGGACGCCAAGAAAAAGGTCATCACGATGATTGGTGCAACATAGGGAACCAAAAAACCAAAAATCCAAATAATTAGTCCCCACAAAAACCAAGCAACAGTAAAGCCAGCGACGAGAAAAACGATGATAAAACAACAAGCGATAAGTTTTGTAATGGTAGCAAAAATGTCGAAGGAAAAAATGTCGAAACACCAGCATCTAGAGTTTTGGTTATTGAATCTAAAACAAAACGTGCAGCAACTCCAAGCGAAGAAAAACAAAATGATGAGGTTCTCAACAATCAGGTCGTAGATTCTTACTCTGCAAAAGAAAAAAGACAATTCAAATATCGAAAATATTAAACGGAAATGTTCCTCTGACGGAAGAATGCTTACAAAAAGAGAGCATGAAATTTCACCAACCTCTTGGTCAGTTTTCACACGGAAGAAAGGGCCTAAAATAAAATCTAAAAATAACGAAGAAGACTTGGTTGGAGGGAAGTGTTAGCAAAATTTCTATGTGCGAAAAACCAGATATTTTTTCTGTTAATATTTTTAGCATAGGAAATCCAGCTAAATTAAACTCAATTATCAAAAAATGCGAAGTATTAAAAAAAATTGCCCAGTTTCATTTTGTGCATCCAGGAAGCAAAAATATCAAATCTTACAATTATACATCTGAGTTTATTAGATAAATAAACTGTTTTATTCGATTTCATACCGGGCTCAAACATTTCTGATGGTTTTTTAACGTTATGGTCATCAAACTTCAGTCTTGCAAACAGAATTGCTTCAAGTACAAGTTTTCAATTGTTAAAATTTGTCAAACTTGATTGGTATGTTGTCAACGTTCATGCGAACCCAAATTCCTCCCAAGCAACTTTGAATTCCTTGA